ACTTTGTTTTTCTAAAGGTAATGACACTTGGTGACATTGTATTTTCCTAAGGTAATGAAGGTTGTGAGAAACAGTAATGAGCATGTGATGGCTCTTGGCTCCTCCTTTAGTCCTGAAGCAGACTCTCATTTAGTGTGCATACAGAATGAAGATGGCAGCTATCAAACTCAAGCTATTAACATTCAGAACAAGCCACGTTTAGGTGCAAATTATATTTTGATATTCTAGACAAGGTCTAAAAACATTGATCTACTGAAAAATTATTGTTTTAAATTTCAAATATTAATTTAAAAATAAAAATGAAAAATTATTGTTTTAAATTTCAAATATTATTAATTTAAAAATAAAAAGTTTATATGACATTTAAAAAAAGTTTGAACTGTTAAAGGATATAATAAACTAGGTCAAGGGGAATAGTTCATAGCCATGAACAGAATCTGTAAATGTATTTAAAAATATTTTTTCCCATCCAGAGACAGGTGCTAGTTTTGTTGTTTTCAATGGAGCACTGAAAACTAGCACAGGGCTGCGGGCTAAATCTAGCATTGTAGAAGATGGCCTCATGGTGCAGGTGCTACCAGAGGCTATAGTCAGCATCAAGGAAGCCCTGAAAGAGATGACCAACTACACCATCCAGTGTGGACCACTGGAGTCCACATCAGCGGAGGAAATAGTTGAGCTACGATGGACAGAAAATGACAAAAACTTCAATTTTGGGTAATTCATTATTATGATATTAGTTCCATTGATATTTATTGTGGGTAGAGCAAAGTATTTTTCATCATAAAACAACTTTGACTTTGTTCTTTACCTGTTTTAAAAATAGCTCACTATTCAAACTAACATTTACACTTTCAAATTTTTTTTAAAGCTTCCAGTTTATACAATGTTGTGAATGTTACTTTACAGTAAATTTCAACTTGTCTAGTGAGAATAATCACACTTAGAGAAATATTGGTATTCATATTTATAAGGGATAGGACTAGATTCATTCCCTCTAGTCAACTTGAAAAATAAAATGCTTTGGCACACAGGATTTCTTAGTAAGTAGAGTGCGCAAATTGCAAATTATAAATGGTTGTGAATCACCACTAGTAAGATATTATTTTTTCTTATTGACATAAACAATCTACACATTAGCCCTATGACAAAGCTTTTTCACATGTGACTACATAGCAAACTAGCTATGGTCGGAACAATGTTGCCATTGCATCAGTTCCCCCTTTTCCATGCAGCCAATGTGGCCATTGTGGCCAAGGAGCGGCCATTATCCAATACAACATTATCTGCCAGTATGTAGCACTGCAAGCCACTAAGGGTAGCCAGCTCATTCCTCAAAGTAAATAAATAATTACAAAAAGAAGTAGATGAGTAACAAAAATGAGACTCAAATTTTTCTTTACACTGAGAAAAAAAAAAGCCAATTATTTACTTTAATCAGAAACTTAAATTAAAACTTATCTTTTTCTTGGTAAACCAGTAAGTCTTAACTATTAAGTTAATAACTATCATCCTTCATTAATGAAATAATTTAAAAATTAAAATTGCATAAAGGTTTATATAAAGAAATTCTACTAATTGAAAGAAAATTTTAGGCTAAATTATTATATAAATGTATTTAGACCAATGCTGGAATGTGCGCTTTTTGATTGGGATTCCTTAACTAAGACACACATTCTTTAAGTTCATGACATTTGAACATTCACAAAATTTGTTGATGTTTGTTGCGGCTTGTCATTTCATCTGAATTCTTTGTTTTTTTGATGGCCACCGAAACACAAAATCTACACCCTCCATGGACCACTAATTCCTGAAAGGAACCTCACAATAATACACTTAGACTATTCTTCTTAGATTGTTCTAACGTGATTGCTGTATTTATGCTATTAGTGTTTGTTGGGAAAATAAAAATAATTCTTTTCATCTTTTAAATTTTCTTTCCTTATAAAGTATCTAATATTTATATTATCTTTATATTATATTATATTTACTATTATCCTATTTTTGTATAAATTTCAAATCATTATTGCAGGGTCAACCTAACTAGGCAGCATCCTAGGGCATCCAATTGGTGGGTGCCTCACAAAGCATCAATACAAAATTTTTAGAGAAGAAATAGAGAAACTTGTGCCAATTTTGTTCCTGTAGTACACTAGGTTTTAAATAAATTGCATAATTTTGTGGAATTTTATTTTTTTGTTGTTTAGTTTATATTTTTCTATTTCATTTGGGGTCCACCAAATTCACTTCACCTAAGGCCTCCAATTATCTAAGTCCGGCCCTGATTTATTGACATTGGCCATTAACTTAATTATCAAATGAGTACCAACAAAATATGACTATGAAACTATCTTGTATTTATTTCAGTGTTAAAAGTTACATTGATGGCATGTCACTTGAAGGTGTTGAAAGTGTCAGTGTCAAGTCACAGTCTGACTTCCTTGGAGAGACCTTGGCTATTCGGTGGACACGGGTTTACTTTTTGCAGCACCAAGAATCAAGTTCTAGTCACTTTGACCCTCTGGATTTGAGCAGACTGACAGAGGATATAGCTCAGGCCTGTTGCACAGCATTAGTGAAACATTTAGATGAGCTCAAGAAAGAAGGTCAAGTCAAATTGGGTCTTCGAGTGAACCTGACTCGAGATTCTGTAAGTCATTTTTCTTAACTCACCTTTCAACTTAAAATTACAATTTTTTTTTGTTGAAAACGATGAATCAAACCAAGTTTCTTCATGAATGGTGACAAGATTTCTACTCAGTAAAAGTATATGGAAGTTTGTTTTTAAACTGAACTAGGGGACTTGTCTATATAGAGAGATATAATCTATGATTGTTTCATTTCTATACATGTGATATTGAACCTATTGAATGTATTCAATTCTGATTTCTAACTATTAAAAAAAAATAAAAGGTGGTGTTTTTTTCTTTTCATAATTTGAATTTCTTTTAAGTTACTTTAAAAAAAATGTGGTTTAATACAGATATTTATTAATTAGGATTTTTTGTTTCTGTCTTAAGCAGTTATTACTTAGACAGTAGTTCAATGTACATTAAATAGACACTAATTTCATTGCTAGAACAAATATGAATCTTGATGGCTTTCTTTTATGGTGTATATCAATTTGTTCCTTTCCTTCAGGTTGGTTATGAAATAGGATCAAAAGGGCGATCTCTGCCAGCAGCCATGATCAACAACCTGGATACTTTCCTTGTCCCAATAGTTCACCAGGCGTCCGAGGAAGGCATTGTGATGGAGCTAGTATTTAATATTGTGGACTGAAAAACTCTCCAATATGTCGACCATGTGATATGTATTTAAACATTTTTTGTTAGACTTACTCCAGAATTCAATTTTGTGTCATTCTAAGTCCACAGAGTTTACTTTTAACTTGGAGTATAGAAATAAATATTTCTTACCATCTATTTCCTAATTTGTATTTTGTTGAAATGATAAAACATCTTGCCAAGTGAGACATCTTTTCTGTTTTGTTTTTTTTGTCAATTTTGTTTTCATGCATGTTTTATTCTTCAAGATTCTTGATTTTAAAGACCTGTAACTCATGTAAGAACCTCCACATTGTTATGTCCCTTAGTATGAGTGTTACAGAAATTTTGATATGATTAATAAAAAGTTGACTGGTTACTAATTAACAGTACCAATTCTACCAACCAAGGGCTATTGCTTGTTTTGTTAACACATAAGTTGATAATATGAATCTTGGTGTGTTCATTATGGTCAGTAGTTGGCTGAGGCATCGCTAGGGTTGGTGGTCACCTGGGCCATCCCCACAAAGTTTTCCAATAAATTTTTTTTTCTTATTGTTGAACCAGAAGACATGAAGGAAATCTTGCATTCAATCATTGATATCCATCAACTCTATATACTAGGACATTTTGTGAATATCAAAATATCTCTCTCTCTCATATCTGTCCCTTGAATTTTGACATAGGGGTACTGTGACAGTTCCCGTAACTAAATCTCTCCTCTTTTCCTGGTCAGCAGCTGTTCTTAGCAGGATATTGAGAGGGCAGTCCATTCTTTTATGTTATCCAGCCAGCTTTTCTTTGGACAACCCTTTCTTTGTGCCCCCTCCAGTGTACCTTTAAGAATGACTTTTGATAGTCAAAGTATAGGAATAATTAAACTAGAAACAGATTTAGTATCAATAAAAACCTTTTTCTAATGAAGCACCATACTAGTCTTCTCAATAGCATTTTGAGCTAACTTGAAATGCTTTTGCCTCTTAATTTGCTTTCACTTTGTCAATAGTTAAACTTTTAGTAGTTACTCTTTGACTTCAGGTAGTACATCTCCATGTGCATAGCCCTGACACATTAGAAACTCCTAGTCCAGATTTGATCTCATCAGCTTATTTCCACACAAAAGAGAGACGATCTAAAGAAGACTTTTAATAAAGTTTAAATAATATCCCCATCTCTATTTCCTTTTTTATAATGACTACTCATCTTCAATGTGGCTAAAAAATGTCAGTTTCCTTTGTTAGAAACAAAACAAAGATTTTTTTTCATCAATTGTTTTTTTTTTATCTGATAAATCTATCCAAAGCTTTTTTTTTTTAAAGCTTGATAAGTATTCTTTAGGTTTCTCATCAGCACCATTGCACAATATGATTAGACTTAGCCTACAATAGAATAGCCCCCAAAAACATCAGTTCTTTCAGTCTTTGATTCAAGTCAGTGTTGATATGCAGGGCACTGGATTATAGCTGATAGTACCTTTAACACTTCACTGGTGACATTTTGTTAGAATTCTAAGCTACCATCAATTCTTAAAAAAAAAGCTCTTTGATTTCAGTGTCACCCAGTGCAATCTGCTCCCCACCCCTTTTTTTTTCTAGCGACGCCACTTGTTATTAGATGAACCTAAGTGTTCGTTAATAGGTAAAAAAATATTTCTCTGTAAAAGGAGGAAGTAAACTGAAAAAAAGAACAGGGGTGGGACAATTGAAAAAAAAGAATTAAAAGACATCAAGATCCAAAAAAAAAAAAAAAATTGAATTTAGCTTTCTGAGAAATGAATTTGTGAAAATGTTCTGTTATTATGTATATATATATATAAAGCCATCCTCCTTAAATGTTTCTTCCCTTAAAACTTATTTATTAAACTCTTTATATTTTATATCAAGGTATTACACAGCAAATTGTATTTACAATGTGTATGTCTAAGTTATTCTAAAACTGTTGTGTTATCTGTATAATAAACTTCTGCATGCTGGTTGAAGGAGTTAAACTAGTGTATTATTTGTTATTAGAGCCATGGGGTGGGTTGACCTCATGTTACACTGTGATGATTGTTTGCAACTCAATCTGTGAGAATAACCAAAACTCTGTAGGGCAGATACTCTGGGAACTTCCTGTGCTTGTATTGAGCCATTGAATTGTAGTCTAGCAATTTCAGCATTTTACTTGTCGTGAGCATTTATTCCTTGTATACAACAGAGCCTGTGTAGTTGTGACATTTTTTTTGAGCTCTAGAAATACTCAAAGAATCAAAACACTGAAGATTTGGATGTCCAGAACCATTTATTTTGAGTGTATTATGAAATGTGCTTTTTTTTTAAAATTGTTTTTTTGTTCTCCATTATGTGAAACTGTCAGAATTTTGTTGGAAGGTTAGATGGGGACAAGGTATTGTTTATGTAATATTGTTTATTTTAAGCCTCATTATCATACGTTCAGTCATATAAATGGTTCTCAAACTTTTCAGCATCGTACTACAGGGTGACTTTCTAAGAACATTTCATTTTGGGGTGGTCTGAAATGAGCTAACCAAAAGTGAATTGAGTTTCATTCTTTGTATTAAAAAAAAACACATTGAACATTTGAAACTGCATGAGTGTTTTCACCTGGACTTGTTGTGTTAGCCAGTGCAATCACAATCTTTGTTGTTACCATTCCCTGTAGATCTCCCAGTTTGTGTTCATCTTTGTGAACAGAAATAATGAACTAAGAATACAACTTGGTGAAATGGCTGTGGTAGTATTTGTAGTATGACTATTTAAAACTAAATCTGTTTAATGAAAAGAAAAACATTGTTTTGATGAGTGATCTGTTTAGTGTTTCTGTTGTTTAGTATGTTGACAACTTGATTCAAACAATACATGGGCTTATGAACTCAAAGAGTGAATTGAATTGATTTTTACAAATCCGTTTAAAAAAAAAAAAAAAAAGGAATCATAATGTCTCAACAAAATAAAAACAACTATTATGCATTTGAAAGAATTATATATAGAAAAGTTGTATATCTATTTAGTGAACAGTACAAGCACAGAGAATAGTAAACTGATAGAGAGGATTGTCTACAAATAAGTCAAAAGTAATTAAAGTGGTGTGGTGGCTGAGTGGTGAAGCGCTTGGCTTCCAAACCTGGGGTCCTGGGTTTGAATTTCAGAATTTTTAGGACGCCCCTGAGTTCACCCAACTCTAATGGGTATCTGACTTTAGTTGGGGAAAGTAAAGGTGGTTGGCCATGACACCCTGCTTGTTAACCATTGGCCAAAGAAGCAGATGACCTATAGACCGCATGATCTGTGACGGTACTTTTGGAGGCGCAGTGGCTGAGCGATAAAGCGCTCAGCTTCCGAACCAGGGTTCAGATCTCTGGTGAAGACAGGGATTTTTAATTTCGGGATATTTGGGCGTCTCTTAGTCCACCCAGCTTTATTGGGTATCTGACATTAGTTGAGGAAAAGTAAAGGTGGTTGTTGTGCTGACACCCTCATTAACTATAGGCCACAGAAACAGATGACCTTTACATCATCTGCCCTATAGACAAGGTCTGAAAGGGGAACTTACATTATGCTATTGAAAGAATTATATATAGAAAAGTATCTATTTAGTTAACAGTACAAGACAGAATATTAAACTGATAGGGATTTTCTACAAATGCCAAATAAAATAATTATAATTCAAGGTCAAATAACAAAGAAATTTTAAATTTTTCAAAACATTTAATAAGCATGAAAATGTGTTGTTTACAGCAAAAGTAATTCTATAAATAGGCAAAATATATAATATATACAACATGTATTAAACAAAATGGAAGCCTGCTGAATTGAACATATTCAACAACCTGAAACACAGAAAAATGAAATGTCAGTGTCATGATAAACAAATAACAAACATGCTCCAACTATAGAGACAACTTTTGGAATGCTATAACTGTCTACAAGTTTTATTACCATGAATACCCAGGACAGTGATGCTACAAAAATATACAATTAGTCGCACAATTCATGGATTGTCTGGACATTATTATTATTAGGATAAATGTTCCTGTTTACAGACTACTCACTCAATAAAATCATCTATAGACATAGATCTGGCTCTTTTCTCCTCAAAGCCATTTTTCTGTAGAAGGTCTGTTACCATTTCTTTCACATTTAGATCATCAGGTACTGTCTAAAAATGATTAAAAAAAAAATTGGCCATTGTTGTCTTTTTGTTGGAAATGAGAGGAATAAATTGTATTATAAAAGAAACCGACTTACAATATTTTTGAATGAACAGGATACTCTGTAATTCTTTTCCAAAACAGCCAAAACTTTGGTAAACCTGATGACAGAAATAAGAAGTTAATTTATTTCAATAACCAGATGAACAGTTTGACTAATAATAGGATTAAGATAATACATAGGAAGACAAGATTGAAATTTAAAGGAACTCACCTGAATGATGCACCAATTGTTTTGTTTTTTCTTGAGAAACAAATCCTCAATAAACCATCCCACTCCTTAAAAAAAAAAGCATATAATTATGGCATTGTTAGCATCAAGTGTTCAACTCAGTACTAAATAGTTTATTTGGTATAATCTTAAGTTGGGTCGCCATGAGATCATGTCAAGTAAAAAAAAAACAATAAAGGCAAACTTTAATGCTTAATTAATTGGTGGTACTCAAAAACAAACAGGCAAAAACTTTAATGCTTACTAAATCGGTGGTGAAAGCATAATGACTAGTGTAGACCAAACATCACAGCTATTCAGAGGATTTTACGTTACCCCAATTGATTTTAATTATCAGCAAAAATATAACTTACTTTGAAATTAATTGGAGGTGGAGGGTTTCTTGGTTCAATTCTGACAACACTGGACTCCACTTTTGGGGGTGGGCGAAAGTTATTTTTGCCAACCTGTCATTGAAGCACATAATTATTATATAAAATTATATGGATTTCACCCCCTCGTCCTCTTTTCCAATTAGTAAAATATGTACTATAAAATTGAAATATCTTAAATATAACAAAGTAATCTATCCTATTGAAAACATTCATATATTTTTGTAGAACTGCAGTAAAATGAATGTTAACTTTGCACTACTGACTTTGATCAAGTGGTCCACTCTGGCCAAGAGCTGAGTATTTACAGAGAGACGACAATACAACTTGTCCCCTGGCTGGGCCACCAGCCTCTGTGCAAACTCTCTTTGGAACATCAAGATAGCACATCTAGGGAATCAAAAAATTTAATCTATTCTTAACTTGCTAGAAAGAAAAAACAAGTTAGTCATGACAGAATCACTGTTTTTAACAAATTGTTTTAATAAAAATGTAACTTTGGTAAGAAATCTTTTAATAAATCTGCTAATAATTACAACTAAAAATTAAAAGGCTTTTTTTTGGTCATGACTTTCAAGAAAACAGCTCAGAAAAGATGAACCTTTAAAAGTTCATTAATTTTAACCTAGCATTGTTGAATAAAAAAATTTATGATCTGAGCTACAGCTGTATGAACTTCAATTATTTACCTAAAAAATGGTCTGTGCAGGAGAAGCTTGAATACAAATGGGGATGAAATCTGTAAAATGATGAGATAATTTTTAGATTCAACCATCGTTCATATACCTAGACAAATCTGTAGGCATCAGCTGGAGTCTAGAAAAACAGTAACAGTAACCATAAAATGCTTTCAAGGAAGATATTTCAATAAGATGATGGAGGATGCTCCCGAAGCTTATGATGGTACTGAAAGGCATAGTCCTTGGCATGAAAATCAGACAGATGCACTCCTTGGTTATGATGACTTTTAAAAAAAACTTGCAATTCATGGACTGCAGAATTAGACAGAATTGAGATGCTACAGAAGATTCTAGTTATTACCTACAAACACCACACCACCAATTAAGAAACTCAAAACAGGATCACAATGGCAATAAGACCCTATTATGATCTTCTGACCACAGTAAAAAAAGTGCAAACTAAGATTTTAATGCTATATTCCAAGATTCACATGGCTAACTAAAGCCTTCCTACAGGGAACAGTACTTGAGGAAAGAAAGATGATGAAGACAAAAGAAACTATGGTCAGACAAATGGTGCCCCAATGGTCCAAAACACTAAAGGAGAGGAAACATTCTATGGCCTCCAGTTGTGAAACATGAGATGAAAACCTGGACATCAGCTACGGTCAGACAGATGTCGCCTACTCAGTAGTAAGGACAAACAGCACAGCTGATGTATTCAACAGAAAATTTGCTTTTACAATCTACTTCCAAGTACTGTACATAACATGATAGCACCAAAGACAGGAAACAACCTATTGTCAATCTACCTGGTAGGGTAAGTTAGCAACGCACACATCAAAGAAAGGTAACTCTGTCTTTAAAACATCTCCAACCATGACTTGTAATTTGGAAGCTTCTGGTCTAAAACATTCACAAATAAAAAAAAATATTCATACAGTTTAACATAAAAAAAAAAAAAACATGAGAGTGTTGTTAGTATATTATAAGAAAGACTTGATCACAGGTCTCTTAATGGCTTTTAAGACTTGATTAGAGCTGGATGATCACACATGCTTAAATGAATGAAAATAGAATGAAAAATACCCAGATCTGGCCACTGATCCATATCTCTTACCATACTTTTTGGGCACTGATTCATATCTCTTACCATACTAGTAAAGTTCAAGTTTCCCATTGAGACCTCAAAGTTTATAAGGTATGTTTAAGTCCCAAAAGTGACTTGAGTTTTACTTGTGTGTTGTGTATGGTGAAAATATTGATCAACATCATATACTTTGCTCAACAAATGTCAGGTACACATTAAAGTTGGGTGGAACATCCATCTTCTTAACAACTGAAAGCCAAGACTTGAGCTAGGACTTTTGGCTGAGGAATTAAGCGCTCTACCACTTAGTCCTCATTTCTCTTTTATTTAATGTCACAATGACAAGAATGTCATGAATGACATGTATATATACCTATGTAATGTTTGAATAAAACAAAATGTTAATGTACGTACGATCCTTGTACTCTTTTATGTAATTCTGCAACCATCCGAGGATCAACTTCACAAGCAATGACCTAAATTAAAAAAAGAGAAGCATTAAATGTTTTAGTTTATTAGTTGTCATAATATTGCGAAGAGTAAATCCTTTATTGCTGTAGCTGTAAATGTGTATTAGACCTCAACTGGACAAGACTGAAAGGATTAAGTGTTAACTCCATGTACTATGTTAAATATTTGTATAGGATTCTATGTGACTGACTTTTGTAAGTTGTGTAAACAAATGATTTGTATTTACTTTGTTTTTTCCATGCATAAAATATTTAAAAAACACTGCTATTATAATAGGTGGGTGTTGCAGGTTCGTTAAATGGTTATCAAAGCTAATTATTAATCAACAGCTAATTACCAACTATTGCAAATGATTATTCATACAATTAGAAAACTCTTTACTGTTTGTATACAATTAAAAATAAATGAAATTACTTTTTTTGCCTTTTCCAAGAGTTTAACAGTCATATTTCCTGTGCCAGGACCAACTTCCAGAACAACATCTGAAGGTCTAAGGGCTGCCTAAAAACAAGTTTTGAAAATAAAAGGTGTACATTCAAGCCCTTTTAAAAGTTAAGAAAAAAAAGTAAGTAGTGCTATGTTCTTAAAGATCAGTGTTGTTTTTAAAATAATAGCATTTGTACCTTCTCAACCATGTTTGTAACTATCATAGGATTTTTTAAGATGTGTTGACCAATATCTGTTCTGAAGGATATTCCTGTAAATAAAATCATGCTTTTAATATTAGATATTTGTTTCATTTAAGTGCATGTAAGGTTGAAATAGTCTACTTCAGCCAACTGGAAATAGGTGAGAGTGTTCAAATTATTTAGTTCAAATATGTA